GTCACAGTGCCCCTCTCTGATGGGAGCCCAGGTCGAAATCACCTAAGCTAAGTCAGGTAGCATTGGCTTCAAACAAAGCAAGAAAGTCTGGGAAGACAAACTCTAAATACGCTACAAGGACTCTCCTCGATGCACTGCTCCTCTGTGAACCCCAGATCGACTGTGCTGAGTTTAAACAAACCTGTTTGGGGGAGAACTAACAAAAAATTACATTAGCTGCACAACTGAGGACTTTTGGGATCTCTGCATGATAAAAACTGGCAAAACCAAACACCTCACCTTCTCCCCACCAGATTATCAGGCAATTAAGAAGATTTCTTACCTATGATCTTTCCATCTGGTTAAAATACAACTAACCAGATTATTATTAGGAATAAATAATAAATATTTTGCTGACTAAAATGAAGCAGAAAAGGACTCATCAGGATTATGAAATATTACTGTCTGTACTGGAACCAAACTTCCCACTTGATGGTTCTGCGGCCTCAACGGCAGCAAAGAAATAAAATGGTGCAATGTTTGTTTCTAAGGGCAAAGTCACAAAGATTTACTGAAAGCCATCAAATATGCTGTGCAAGGATATGTCATTTTAAAGACTCTGTGGGGGAGAAGGGCAGTTTTGATGAAAAACAAGAAATCACACTTCTCTCCTAGCAATCTGTTTTGTGTTGCAGACCACAGTGGAAATGCACCTTCTCCAGTGGAAGGGCAGCAAGTAGTGAATGGTATTTCAGTATTGTTTCATGCTACTTCTGGCTCAGATCTATCTGCTGCAGAAAACTCTCAGTACCTTCCTTAGAAAGCTGAAACACCAACATCTCTCCTTGGCACTCTGCAGCATGGGAAAGCAGCAGCAAAGCTGTTTTCCTCAGGCACTGAGTTCAGAGAAGGGTGTGTGGCTGTGGGGATGTTTGATTCGGTGATGTGACCAGACAGGTGCATAAAGAGCTTAAGGTAAGAGTTTAAACTGCCTTAAGGATGAAAGTACTTTAGTGTCCTCTTTCAATACGTGCCAGGCAAAGAAAACTCCAAGACAGTGTAGACACTCCCCACTCTCCAGTCAAAAAATTACACTACTTTAGGTCTAACTCTATCTTACAGAGACAGAGGAATAAAGTTCTGCACACAGATGAAAAACACTAAGAAAAATATACCTGTTTAGTCTTTAAAAAAAATAATCTTTAAATGTTCCTCTTCAGAGGAAAAGGAAAAAACAACCGACCAAAAAACCCCCACAACAATCCCCCAAAATCCAACCCAAACCTTACTAGCATACCAAATCCCAAGGTTTCCAGCTTGCATATTTGCAAGTCAAACATCAAGGAGCAGCACAAAGACTTTTAGTTCCAGACTGACACAATTGACAGGAACTGCAGGAAACTAATCCTTCAGGTTTGAGTTGCACAGCTGCCAAGCAGCTCTCCCCCTGCCCTGAGCTACACCACACAGCACAGGGAAGGTGCAGGAGGAGGACAAGATAGCTGGTCAAAGTCAAATCCTGCTCAACAAAACCACAGACAACTTCAGTGAATTTGCAGCGTGAGGATTTGTACAAACTGCTGTGAAGAAAGCAAGAGGGGGAAATACTGAAAACTTACAAAGTAGCTGTATAATTCATACAGAAGGTTAAAGAGTAATTTAGAAGCTGGAAAACTCAGCACAAACGTCCCTTCCACAGCTGCTGCTCTCCTAAACCAACAACAGAAAGGACTTGTTTTCTACTTGACAAAATTCTTAGCTTGTGATTAATGAAAAGGACAGTTCAGCAACAATTTATCCTCGAGTGCTCTACAACTGGGAATACTATGTGTAAATGCCTTATAAGGCTGAAAAACTAAGTTCAGAAGGTCATGGAATCAGATAACCACAATGGAAAAGACTCAGAAAATACCTAACACATATTCCTGCCAAGAACTACTTTTCTGAGTGTACCTTACTGCTGGCAAATCCAGTCTGAAATAATCAAAAGGATTCTCTAAGGCATCCCAAAAACATTTGGAGAAAATTTGCCAGAATTTTATTTCCCTTTTATTTGTAAGATTGCTCAGAACAGACTCAGCATCAGTCAGCTGGATCTGAATGCTGAATCAAGGGATCCACATCAAAGTCAAGATACTCACACCCTGTCGAGAATTTTAGCTGATACCTTTACTGCATGTGGCAGCAGCATCAGCCTCTAATGATCCTTGGTGAGTTCTCTGAGTTGTTTTAAAGGTGGGCTAGTAATATGCCAGTCAGAAGACAACTTGGCATTCAGTGGGCAGAGGATGTGAACAAAGCAATAATGGGAAGTGAGTGTACCTGTTACACAGTTCTCCTCTGATCTGTCCTCAATTTCAGGTGGCAGGAAAAGATTCACCTCTTCCCTTCTGGGTATTTATCCAGCATCCATAATTACACAGACTGACACTGGAAGACTTACTTGATCACATCATTTTAGATCTGGGGCTGACAAGCTTTGAGTTGCTTGCTAAGTGTTTTAGTACTCTCTTTGTTTGTTTTGCTAGAATAAAGCAATATAGATAACATTGCAATTTCTGTAATACTTAAAATTCATGGGAAATTTGCAACACACATGAAGATCTGTGACTTCCAGATTTTAAATTCTTCATGCAGTATTATTTTAACAAAAAGAGTTAATGGAAATAAAATTATTAGCAGTGCTGCAATCACACCCAAATACTTCGCACAGTAACCTTGGAACAAAATCTGTGAGTCTCAAACAACCTCTGACACTGAGCAGAGACCACACACAGGGCTGCCTGCAGGTACAGGTACCACCAACAAACAGATTCACTGGATCAGACCTAGGGTTCACCTAACTGTTAACTTCTCTCTGACAACAATCACCAGAGGCTGCTGAAAGGAGTTTAAACATAAGCAGGCAGTGATACTGTCCCAGATTTCACATATTTGTACTTCAAGAACTTCCATTAGCCAAAGCTGACTCCTTTTATTTAATGGTTCCAGACTGATTTATCTTCCCTTCATTTACATTGTTGTTCTGAACCTGTACAAGCTTTTAGGATTTGAGACATCCTGTGGCAAGGCAGTTCACAGCTCTATTAGCTGTGGTGAGAAATGCTTCTATTTCCTTTGAACCTGCACCTTCTAGTTCCCTTTGATGTGCTCAGCTCTGCTATCAGAAGGATGGCAAGTGACCTCAGCTCAACCTTCCTGCTCCTCACAGGCATCAGCACATATTCTGAGTTAACTCTTTTATGATCTATTGCTGTTACAGAAATCTTTTCATATCTTACTCAGCTGTCACACTTCTCTGGCCTCTCCTCATCCACTGATTTGTTTTAAAGAGGGATGGAGACCAGAGCTGCACATGGCACAGTCAGGATGTGGGTATGCAATGATGTAATTCCGTTCTCTATTGTGATCCCTATTCAATTATTTTTTTTCAGTTTCCTTGCACTCAGGTTTTTTATTTTGTTTTGGCTTTGTTTGACTGCTGAACATCGTTCCCAAATTCGGTTCAGAGCAAATCACATACATAATGAATGTTCCCTTTTCCCCCACATGCATTACATTTGTCAACACTGAATTTCATGAACTGTTTTATCCACAAAGTCTTGCAAATTCTTCCCTGTTGGCTCAAGCCTAACATAATGGTATTATTTTTATAATTAACTTTATCATTTTAAATAATAATTCTGAACCTGCCAAAATCCCCAAGCCCACACAATATTAAAATCTGCCATGGAAATAATGAATGCCATGTTCATATGCTTGACACGCAGAGCACTAATTAAAAACTCAAGCACTAAAAATAACTTGAGGGAACTGCTTGATATTATTTCAATATTACAAATCCATATGTTGCACAGCTCCCCAGGGGACTGCAGGAAAACAAAGAACCAAGTGGACAAGATAAAAATTAAAAGAGATTACATGAAATGAAGTCACCATGAGCTAAATAAGCTACAGATCCTCTTTGAATTCCAGTCTACCTATACTATGAAATCATTGATCCTTTGTTTCTCTGAAGATACTGTATCATGTTCCTAGTCTACTGCATCCGTTTTCTTCCCCTGGGACACAGAAGCTAAGTCTTACTAAGTGGCTGTATGAATGGATAGTGCTGGGGGACAATGGACTAAAAAAAGCCTAAGTAAATGGGGCAGGTCAGGCAGCACTGCACATTAGCAGGGTCTAGCCCATTAGCAAGCTCCCAACAACACAATCCAGCAGCTAGGAAACAAGAATACAATAGCAGAAATGGATAAAAAGGCAGGACCTTATTGGAAGCTCCTTCACCACGTGTGGCAAGAAGAGAAATTGAACTGTTTCTATTTTACTCCTTCCCAAATACCTCTGCAATGGACATGGTATCTACCGAAACACAAAATGCTCCTAAGTGGGAGAAAAGAAGTGTTTACATTGCGTTCTCTCTGGTGATTTGAACAAAAAATCAAAAGTGATATGGTGTTAGAATTTATACAAGTTGTCTCATTGTTCACACTATTTGTAATTACACAATGAGCTATCATTAGAAGTAACTACATCAAACCAAGTATGGGAGGCAAAGAACATGTGTGTGCATGCAGTTAAAGCTTCAGAAAAAAGCAGCTTTGAAGAGACACCACATGTCCTACTACTTCATCTTAATAAATCAGAAATTTTTCCTTCCAGCCTTATCCATCTCACCAGGTATGACCTCCAACAAAAAGATGTCAAGAACTTAAAATGCCCAGTATGCCTTCACACATTGCTATTTTTTCATGCAGAGCTCAGTCATTGAAGAGTGGAATGCACAAATTCTGGAAGAAATCTGCAGTGTTCCCTGTGCCACTTCAACCACTAAACCATTGGCTTTGCTGGTAAACTTCCCCGTGCAAAAACACACAAGGGAGAGAAGCTGTTTTTGGAGATAAGTTTTCCCAGTCACACTTTCTAGCAACTGCTTCTCACTTTTGACTTATCTTCAAATTCAGCCCTAATTTCAACCATGTCTATCTTCAATTAAAAACAAAGAAAAATTCTTGACTGTATTGCATTAAATATTTCAGACACCACCATCAAAAACCTGGTTTTATTTGTTGAAAGGAAGATAAGATATGTGGGAAATGATGTGCAGCTATTGCTCGAGAGCCATCAGCCCACAAGCCTCTTTTAATTAGGGAAGCCAATGGACTTAGGCAACAATTCTGTGTGGGCAGTTTCTGCTTCATTCCCATCAAGTTAATGTATCGCTGCCCTTGCATAACACATGGTGGCACCGAATTTATTGCTCTTTCTGTGTTTTAGATCACTGCTCCTTAACAACATTCTCTGGGGGCTTGTAGATTTCAGCTTGAAGAGGCCACTTATTTTTAGACTGTTTGAAGGGCACTGACACTTTGGCCAGCTGCACCAGCACCTGGGATTTGAAGGTGTATTTTAAATGGAAAGGTTTTAGAGCTGCTCACTCACTTCACACGATCATATTCAATAAACAAGTTATTCCTGGAGGAGTGAGGTAAGTGAAGACTTGTGCACTCTGCTTCTATATGCTCTCCATAACTGTCCCAATCCCATCATTTCTTCCAAGCAAGACAACTGCATTTAGGATATCAAGGTTAGACTTCAGTGTGTGATGACAGGACAACCAGTACATAGGCTACTTGGGAAACAGAGCTGCCAAACAGATGACAGTTCTGCCCACCTTGTCTCCAGAAGGAGTATTAATTAATACACCCCACCCATCTTTACGTAGAAGACAAAACATACCGTTTTTTCCTCATTTTCAAATGCTTCTCTTGCTTCTTCATAGCTACAGATTTCTTCTTTGCATTCATGCTCTATGTCACCTTGCTTTAGTTCTTCCAGAAATGTGTTGGCTCTTGGGTATCTTTTCAACACAGAGTTGGCTTTGTCCTCTGTTAAGAACACTGAATAAGAAGAGGAGAGACAACAAAAGTCACTTCTGAAATAGATACCCAAAACCTCATGCTAAAATTGCTCAAAGAAAACTTGCTTTTGAGAAACAGTGATCTTTTTCAAAGCCTTTACCTTTATTTAGCATGATAAAATGCCTTTCCTAGTGTTGTTCACTGTTGTAAGTAGCTGGACCTATGATTTCATTAGTCATTGCTATAATGTCATAAATACAATAGACCTCAATTAGGCATCATAGTTGTGTATGCTTAAACTAGACTGAAGCTGGTGCCTGAGTGCTCAGGAGAGACAGGCACATGCTCAGCTCAAGCAACTTCTTAAACTAAGATGACACAGAACAAACAAATCCTGCTTGTGAACATCCAAAATGATATTGGAAACAGCCTGAGGGCATCACAGCCAGAATGCTCTGAAGTTTTCTGAGATAAATATTTATGACTATTACCCAGAGTCACACACACCAGAACAGCTGCATTTATCAATGTTTAAGCCTGTAAGTTTTCTTAACTTGGAAGCAGACTAGCTCCCTTCACTCCTGAAATCTCAGCCATGAAATGGGCACCCTAGTGGAGGGGGGAAACCTAATAGGAGGGGGAGGGGGGGGACAGCCTCTTTCTATTTCCTTGAATCATACACAAAACCTGCCTTTATTTGATGAATCAAAAAAACCAACCCCAAAAGGCAACTAATGTTCTGACACAGGTATTTACTTGCTTTCCTTAGTTTTCTGTTCAAGGAAGAGAGCTGGAAGCAATCTCTTTTCCTCTGATGTTCCAGCTCTCTCTCAAACTCTCTGACCCAATAACTTTTACAGTAATATGAAGCAACTGGAATACTCTGAAATCCATCAGCCTGAATTACCCAGGAGGTACATCTGCACTGAATGGTGCAGAAATTCTCCAGGTATTTCAGGCCATGAAGCAGGAACAGGATGTCAGTGCTACACTGCTCTTGGGCTCTCACTGCCAAAAAGAGGGGCTAATGATTCCATGCACTGCCACACTAATGCACTCATTCCACTTTCCTGACCTGTGCAATCATTTGTGCATTGCTTCATTTACAGCCAGTCTGGGACTGCTGATATGCTGCCAAGGAGTTTTTCTTCCCCTTTAATCTTCTGATTTTTAATGTTATAAAAGGAGGGCAGCAAGTGAACAAAGAGGATCACTATGCCTTTCTTGTAGATAGATGTGGTGGCATTTGTCAGCAGTGACACTATTAGCATCATTAGGCTGATCTCCTTTAATTTAATTTTGTTTAGTCTCTGTGGTGTACTGTTGCAATGGGTTTATGTGGCAAGGTTTTGGTAGGGGTGGCTTCTGGGAGAAGCTGCTAGAAAATACCCCTACGTCCAACAGAGCTAATGCCAGCTGGCTCCTCCAAGACTGACCTGACTTTGTTAAGGAGATTTACTAGCAAATGCAAGATAAAAGAAAAATCAAAATTATGATTTTGGCATTATGTAAGAGAGACACAGAAACAAATAATCTAAAGCCTGTTCCACTCCCCCAATTTTTGTAGAATATAGATGAAGATATACAAGTACCAAATTTAATGCATTTGAAAACATTATTTCTTTAGACATGCTTGTGCTCTGTGTAGCTGCAATACTTGTCTTTTAGCAAGTTTTTGTGCATCAGAAAGCTACAAAGAAAATAATCCAAAGACTTACTTTAGTTTTACTATTATTGAAGAGAGAAATTCATTCAGATCAATCTGTTATACATTCCCAAGAAAACCTGCATGCTATCCTAATAGTGAATGGATACTCTAGCAAGGTGAAATTCAATCAGAATCAGAGTCAGGCAAGGGCATGAGAGGATAAATACATCACAGCCTGCCAGCTGAAGCTGTGACAGGCAAAGAAAATAGGCTTCAGGTCTTTAGTGACAGAAAGAACAGGGAGCAGCAGCATGGGAAAAGTGTTCTGGGACAGAAGTGTTGCCGAAGCAAAGCCCAGGGCACCCTGGACACCAAAACCAGCTCGACTGAGAGCCATTAGTGAGGCTTTTTTTGAGTTCTTACCAATATCCAAGCAGGCTAAACCCACCACTAAATACTGAAAATAAACATGTAATTTTCAATTTAAAGCTGCTACTATTACATTTGAATTTTTCTGTAGGTCATCATAATAAAGCCTGGAAATTCAGCTCTGTAGTCTTCATCCTGCAGCCACCTTCCAAAGGCCCACAAGTGAGTTTGTGATGATTATTATGGTCTGCAAATAATATCTTTGTCAGAACAGTAGTATGACCCCAGTTCAGTTCAGTGTGGGCAAAGATTTACATCAGATGTAATGCCAAAACCGGTTCAATGCCATAGGGCACTTTTTGTGCAAACTGAGAGGGATTCTGAGCAGAGTTTTGGGGAGTGTTACTGCCAACTTCACAGGGAGTGATGAAGAACACACACTCATCACCAAGTTAACAAACTTACCAGTATCCATGATGATTGCTGTCGAGGCAGGAACTTGCAAGTATCGAGTCTGTAAACAAAAGAGGAAGCATGGTGTTGAGTTTGTGAATTACAATGAACTTGGAAAAGATTCTCTTGATTCCCAAATACTGTTATAAATATATCAGCATTGGAAACCCCATCATTAATCAAGATTAATCCCTGTTTTGAGTTGTACCACTACTACATGCAGACTAGTTTCAGTAGGATAGGAATACTACCCAAAAAATGCTAACTCTTGTGAAAGGGTGAATGCTTTAAACTTTTTCAAGGCTTTTCATATTCAGAATATGCAAAAATGTTAATATGAAACAGAGGGTGTGTATCACTTTAAATGAAGTGCAACCTGTTTTGCCTAATTGAACTTGCAAGGTATTACATTCTCTTCTGTAATTACTTATACTTTAGCTAAAACAAATTCACTAGGCAGAGATCATCAAGTCAGCTCATTATCTTCAGTCTATGGATCAGATTTTTTGAAATCAGAATGAACACACATAAATTCAGAGTCAGCTCCTGATTAAAACAGGATACCTGCATAAAGTTCAAGGGCAGAACAAGACCTGCACTTTGGGAGTGGAACTTGCAATACATGAGAGGATCCCAACCTGCCCTACAAGAACTTACATGTACTTTGTAGCTCATCTTGGAAAGAGAACAGACAAAAGATGCTCTCAGTCAAGAAAGTGCCTGAAGCTCACTGCACCCACCAGGCAGAGAGCCAACAGGAGCTGCATCTGAAGGCATCAAAAGTAGTTTGAGGGACTGGTTTCAGTTTCTTGGAGTCTTTATTAGCATGGGAAAAGTTAGGAAAGTAAAAGCTTTCAGCAAAGTTTAAGAAAGGTGCAACTGCCTAACCAAGTTAGTAGAACACCATGAGGTTAAAGGGTTTTTATTAACAAATTACCTATTCCTAAAGGTTAACACTAGTCTTCAGAGGCCAAGTTACACATCAACATATCACAGCACACTGATGTCCTCACTTTCCATAAATCCAAACCCTCATAAGCAAACCTCAGTGTAAAAAGTTTGGCCATGGCTGTGGTAATAAACAACGAGGGAAAGTTAACACGCAAAAGATTTGTCTCACTCAGACTACATTGGACAAGGAAAACAGCAAAAGAGAGAAGTGGAAAAAACTCTCTGCTTTGTGCTATTCATAACATTATGAAACATTACCATGAATTCTGATTACATAAGGACCCAAAGCCAGAGACCAGATCACCAAGAGAAGCCTGTACTTAGCAGATTGCCATTGCCTCCTAAACCCAACAGCACGTCCCATTACTCACGGGAGGAGCACACAGAGCTCATCCCTGGGACACTGCCCTGGGAGGGAGAGAAGGTGGCTCCTCACCACTGCAGCTGCCTGAGACTGGGGCCTCAGCTCTGCCTCAGCTCCATTGTCCTTTCTTCACTTAATGTTCTTTGTTCTGTTAAAGCTGTGGCAATATTCTGGCTGGTTATTCTCTGCATACTTCCAGGCTCCTCTGGTTCAAAGGGAGAGCTGCTATAGGCTAAGGTATTTCTTCCTTCCCCTCCCTTTCAAAACCAGTGAAGAATGTTTTCCTGATACACATATTTTGGTGAGCAGGACACGTGGCAGGAGAAGTACCAAACCTCTCTTCACCAAGGGAAAATTTGGGTGGGTTGCATCATTTTAAAACCCCTGGGGACCATCTGGGGCAGTTCCTGGGAGCCATAATTGAATGTTTACATAACTATCTGTACGGAAACAAGAATTCCACAAATCCCCAAGAGACTGTGCCTTCCTGAGCAGCCTATAGAGCAGAATTTCAGACACCTCAGTCTTCTGTAAAGCAATGTTTTCTGACAATAACTTAAGTTAGACAACATGACTATGCTTTGGGAATTCAAATTGCAAGTATTTAACTCGATAATCCATTGAGGTGTTCACATAACAGTAACCAATTCCTCTCCTTTTTCAAGTGAGAATGGTGAACAATTAAATAAACCTTTCACAGTAGGTTTTCAGCCTGATTTTGTTTGGACACAAAACTAATGATACTTATCTATTCTATTTTCTGCTCCTCCCCCAACACCTTTTAACTAAATCCGACACTGAGATTTCTTGTTCTGTGCTCCCGTAAGTTTTCCACAAAAATCAATGGCCAAAAAGAACAGAGAAAACCCATTAATGTTCCCATTGAAGTAAAGGTGGTTTACCAACTGTGGCACTATCTCAGGAAGCACAGTGCATTTGGTGGCTGTAAATCAGAACTCAGATTAATAAAGCAGGAAAGGTCAAAAGGTAACAGAGACAGAAAAACAACATCATTATAACTCTCGTGCTCACTGACCTAATTACTGTTTAAGTGTGGCTTCCAAATCAAACTCAAGTGGTCATCCACTTGGGTATCATCTGTTCCAACCTCGGTTTGACTAGCTGGACTCTTTATCTGAGGCAATTACAGTGGCCATGAATAATAACCTGTAAGTGCATAATAATTATCTCAATCCATGACTGCACTCACATTAGCTAGGAATGCAGAGCAGTAGGAATGCACCCGAAGAACAAAACCATCGAGGACTCAAAATCTACACAGCACAGATCCAGAATTTTACTTTGGGGTAACTCTAATTTGCCATCATGAGCTGAGCACTGTGTGGCAGTGTGACTGCAGCAGGTTATGCTCTTGGAGTGGATCTTCTGGTTTACTCTCACCCAGAAGTGATTGGGTCTGAGTGTTTGGAATTGTTTCTGCAATGCAAACTAAAGCACAGTAAGTGCTGATAACTGGGAGATTTGCTTTCTAAGCATACTTCTAATCTGAACCAAAATGCTGCTGCAGGTACACCCAGTGTGCACTGCCTGACTACACTCAAAGCTGTAAGAAGCTGCAAGGAAGGAAGGTCTATACAAATGATTCCTCAGCAAAGAGCCAAAGGTGGCTATGGGGTGGTAGTGAATGTCTGGCAAAACATTCTGCAAAACTACGAAATTACTTTGACCAGTTGACAGAAACAAATAATCTAAGTCTCGTCTCTCCCTCAAGCGAAAATATAAACCAAACAAAAACCCTCTCAAATATGAAAAAACCCTGACCACAGTGAAAGATTTCTGGAACAGTCTATGTGCTTGTCTCGTATTCCAACATTATGTTCTTACTGTGGAAATTAAATACTGCTAATACCACAGGGCCCAAACTAAGGCAAAAAACCTGAAATACCAGAGTGGCTGCTCAGAGACATGAGAAAAAGAGACACACACAGCTAATCCGGGAACCAGGAGACAAGCTAGCCACTCCTCACCTCCCCAGACAAACTCCACACACAGTCAAAGAGTGGAAACATGCAACTACAGACTACAAAATTAACATCCAGTTTATGATCACCATTATCGATATTTGCCGTAACTTCCTCTCCAAAATGTTACCAGCTTCTAAATCCCAAAGTAACACAGAAAGTCAATATGCAATAAGCCAGAGAAAATACACCATCCCTTGGCCATGCATTTACAGGTGGCTGAAGTGTTAAATATTGATAAAATCTTATGTTATACCAGTAAAGTGACAGCTGCTTATTGAATATCTATCATGTATGTTTTAATTTATAGTAAGAAAAACTAACCAATGGACCTGCTGAAAAAACCACATGGCCTGTATCAGAATTTCTGCAGAATGTTTTCTTTATGGCACATTTTCACTCACGGCCTCCCTAAACTAGAAGCTTTGAATGTGCACTCATTTTATTTCCCTCCCCTAATTTGTCCCTGTTTTCATGCAAATTAAATGTTTGCATCTGTTTTATAAAGCACCAACAAGCCAACTGTCATTCTGTAGTGCAGACCATCTCCTGATGCTTTACAGACAACAGACTGAGGAACAGTCAGCAGCTTTTAACTCCAGTTGAAAACTGGATTTTATACGCAGCTTTTTATTAAAAAAAAAGAAAACCAAAATATCCTTTGTGTTTAAATCATCACTGTCTAACAAGGCAGACATTCAGCTGATCTAACAGTAACACACAAAGTCTGCTGGGCTAAGTTGGTCTCTTGGCTACATATGTGTGACCACAGCAGATAAAACACATTGCAGCTCACCAACACTTCTCACAACACGACAAACAGGAGGGAATGCACTGACCTCAGCCAGCATTGAGGCAAGTAAGTCAAAGAACCTGAATTTTCACATACTACCTAATTTATGGGACTTGCTGCCATAGGATGCTGTCCAGGACAAAAGCAGAATTAGATTATAACTAATAAAAAGGAAATCAATAAATGAGGGAGAGATTTGGTGGTTACTCTAACACGATTCTCCAGATGTACCTTTTATTGGTAACTATGAAAGGTGGGAAGCAGTCCAGTGCCCAGTATGGCATGAATAACTACATCCAGTTCCTCTCCAAAGTGGCTAAAACTGGATTAGGACCAGGGGAGTAAATATCAGCACATAATAGCACCACACAACCAGAAACTGAGTTGACAGATGGCGAGTGGTCTCTTGAATAGATCCTATTCACTACCTACAATCTCCCTTTTTCACTGACTTTGGGTCTCCCAAATCAACCCAACAAAACATTCAGTATGACTAGAAAGTAGATTATAACAGTGCATTTTAGAAGCATTTATGGGTCAAGTAGGAGAGAAAAAAAATTAAAAAGTAAAAAGAGTACCAGCTTTACTTTAGATTATACCTCTCCAGGTATGAGAGAGAAGGGCCAAGCAACAGTACCTGGGCATGGTCCAGTCACAAAAATGTAATTTCACTGCAGGTACAATGTTGGTCCACTGAGAAAAGGCCACAAGATCAAAGCTAACAATGTACCATTATTTCATGCTCTGAAACTCTTACAGACACTTTCTTCCCCAACACAGCTTATAAAGCAAAACCACGACCCAAGTGTCACAAATAATACCTCTATGGCGTTTTCAATAACACAAACTGTCTGTACAAAACTTCAGCCTCCAACTGCATCAATCTGTATCCAATATCCAAAGTCTGCCCTTCTGGCAGAAAAAGAGGGACCTGGCAATTCCATACATTTGAAAAAGATTATTCT